CCTTGGATTTTGGGGCCGGAAAGCAATTCCCAATTCCAGGCCGTAACACCCCGGAAAAGGCAAAAAAAAAAAGGATTTTTAGGGGATTTTTGAGGAATTTGGAGGATTTTTTGTGAAGATTTTTGAGGAATTTCTGGGGAAATTTTGGGAAAATTTTGTGGGGAATTTTTGGGAGATTTTTGGTGACTTTTTTGAGGGATTTGGGGGGAATTTTGGAGGAATTTTTGAACGATTTTAGGGGAACTTTTTTGGGCATTTTTTAGGGAGAATTTTTAGGAGATTTTCAGGGATTTTTTTTTGAGGGATTTTTGGGTAAATTTTGGGGCAATTTTTGACAGATTTTTTTGGGCAATTTTTTTGGGACAATTTTCAAGATAATTTTTTTTAGGGATTTTGGGGCAATATTTTTTTGTGGGGGGAAATTTTAGAATTTTTAGGGGGGAATTTTTAGGGAAACCAAGAACGTTGGTTTTTTTTTTCCAGGCGGTTCGGAGTTTTCCGACCTCTCCTGGATCCGGATCCGTGAGAATTCCCGGGAATTTGCCCACCTGGCATTTCTGGGAGGAGCCAACCCCGAACTTTCTTGTTGGGCACCTGAATCACCTTCTCGGCCGCCCACGCGCCGCTCTGGGGACACGGGGACATCAGGATGGGATCCAGCACCCAAACACCACCCAAATCCCAAATCCCAAATCTCAAATCCCAAATCCCAATCCCAAACTCAAATCCCAACTTCAAATCCCAAATCCAAATCCACCACCCCAGATCCCAAATCCCAAATCCACCACTACAAACACCACCCCAAATCCCAAATCCCAAATCCCAAATCCACCACTACAAACACCACCCCAAATCCCAAATCTCAAACCCCAAATCCACCATCCCAAACACCACCCCAAATCCCAAACCCCAAACACCACACCAAATCCCAATCCCAAACCCCAAATCCACCACCCCAAACCCCAAATCCCAAATCCCAACCCCAAATCCCAACCCCAAATCCCAAACTCAAACCCCAACCCAAATCCCAAATCCCAAACTCAAATCCCAACCCCAAATCCACCACCACCATCCCAAACCCCAAACCAAAATCCCAATCTCAAACCCCAAACCCCAAACCAAAATCCCAATCTCAAATCCCAAATCCCAAACTCAAATCCCAACATCCAATCCCAACCCTAATCCCAAATCCCAATTCCAAACTCAAATCCCGAACACCCCCGGTTTGGGGTGGTGATGGTGGATTTGGGGTGGGGATTTGGAATTTGGAGTGGTGGATTTGGGGTTGGGATTTGGGATTTGGATTGGGATTTTGGGACTCAGAAAAGGGATTTAGGACCCAAACCCATCCATTTTTCCACCTTTTTTGGCAGCAAACGCTCCCTCCCCTCGTCACCCCATTGACCCAACCGAACCGAATATTCCCAAAAATCCCAAATCCGCTCGAACTGAGCCCAAACTGCCAAAAAAGTGGATTTTTCAAGGTGGTTTGGAGGTTTTTCAGCCTTATCCAGATCCGGATCCACAAGAATTGAGAGTTTGGGATTCAGGGAAGGGATTTTGGGATTCAGGAAGGGATTTTGGGATTCAGGAATGGATTTTGGCATTCAGGGAAGGGATTTTGGGATTCAGGAAAGGGATTTCAGGATTCTGGAATGGATTTTGGGATTCAGGGAAGGGATTCTGACATTCAGGGAAGGGATTTTGGGATTCAGGAATGGATTTTGGGGCCTCAGAAAAGCGATTTTTGGACCCAAAACCATCTATTTTTCCACCTTTTTTGGCAGAAAACGCTCCCTGCCTTCCTCACAGTTGGGTTCCTGTCGACCCTACCAAAGTGAATATTCCCGAAAATCCTAAATCCGTTAAAATCAACCCCAAACTGCCCAAAAAAGGATCACCTGTGTTTTGTAGAAGCGGTGCACGGCGCTGCTCAGGGTGCAGCCCACGAAGCCCTGGGCGGCGTCGGGGTCGTGCAGGAATCGAATTTCCAGCGGGGCCGAATCCTCGCCCACGTCCAGAGCCTGAATGTAACGGTGGCTGCTCCAGTCCCACACGTTCAGACGGCGCCCGTAGCGCCCTGGAAAATAAAAAAAAAAAAATGGGAATTTTTTGGGGATTTTTGGGGGATTTTTTTGGAATTTTTTGACTTTTTTTGGAATTTTTTTTGAAATTTTTTGGGGAATTTTTTTAGAATTTTTTTGGATTTTTTTTTTTAATTTTTTTGAATTTTTTTGTAATTTTTTTTTAAAATTTTCTGCCTGACCTCTGTCTCTTGCGGTGCAGGCTATTCCAACCCTCCCCATTTCCTTATTTTTTGTTTTTTTTTTTTAATTTTTTTGAATTTTTTTTTAAATTTTTTTTTAATTTTTTAAAAATTTTCCTGGATTTCCCTGGAAATTTCCTGGAATTTCTGGGATTTTCCTATAATTCCCAGGAATTTTATGTAATTTCCTGAAATTCCTGGAATTTCTGGGAATTTCCAGGAATTTCTGGTAATTTCCTATAATTCCCTGGAAATTTCCAGGAATTTCTGGAAATTTCCTGGAATTTTCTGTGATTTCTGGGAATTCCCTGCAATCCCCTGTAATTCCCTGCAATTTCTTGTAATTTCCTGTAATTTCTGGGAATTTTTTTGAATTTTGGGAATTTTTTTAGAACTTCCTGTAATTCCCTGTAATTTCCTGGGAGTTTCTGGGGATTTCCTCTAATTCCCTGAAATTTCTGGGAATTTTTCGTGAATTTTGAGAATTTTTGAGAATTTCCTGGAATTCCCTGTAATTTCTTGGGGGTTTCTGGGGATTTCTTCTAGTTCCCTGCAATTTCTGGGAATTTTCTGGGAATTTTGGGTATTTTTAAGAATTTCCTGGAATTCCCTATAATTTCCTGGGACTTTCTGTGGATTTCCTGTAATTCCCTGCAATTTCTGGGAATTTTCTGGGACTTTTTTTGAATTTTTTTCAATTTTTTTGGAATTTTTTGAATTTTTTGGAATTTTTGGAAATTTCCCGAGCTCCCCCTGACCTTTCCCGAGGTCGCTGGGGTCGAATCCGTATCCCAGGATTTTGGGGATGCCCCACTCGGTGCTGATGAGGACGTTGTGCCGGGGTTGGTACCAGAAATCGTAGCCCATGGGCGGGGTTTTCTCGCCCTTTTCCCAGGTGCCCTTCACCTCGAAGGTCTCGGCGTCCAGCAGGATGAATCCC